ATGTTATTTATCCCCTCTTTTCTTCATTTTCCCCCCAACCCCCAAGGCAGTCATGTTTTTTAACAGTTGCATTATGCAGTATTTTTTCCTTTTGTGACTGAGATATTTCACTCAGCAAAACGTCCTGAGGGTCAAAGAATATTTTTTATAATATTCCATGAGTTTCTTGTTTTTCAGTGCTGCATTCTATCCCATTGTGTGAATATACCACAGCTTCTGTATCCATTTGTTTGTTGATGGGCACTTGGGTTGTTTCCATCTCTTTGCTATTGTGAACAAAGCAGCAATAAACATGGGTGTACCTATATTTTTGTTTGGGTGGCAGTTCTTATTTCTTTATGGTATATTCCCAGTAGTGGAATTGCTGAGTCAAATTCTATGTCCAACATTTTGAGTAAGTATCATACTGCCATACTTCCTTCCATAGTGGTTGCACCATTTTATACTCCCACCAACAATGAATAAGTTTCTTCACAACCTCACCAGCATTTGTTGTTTGCTGCTCTGTTTACTTTTGCTATTGTTACTGAGGTGAGATGATACCTCATAGTTGCTAAGGTTTCATTTTGAACATTGTGGACTTTTAAAAATCTTTCATTCCTTCATCTTTAGAATTAGGGGGTAAATCTGGTTAATACTCATATTAATCTTATCCTTCTATTTATACAGATAGTATCCTATTGCTGACCATATATTTCAGAAATGTTATTTTTTATGGTAAACAAGTACAATTCCTCTTTTCCACTTGCACAATAGATGATATTTAAAATAGCCAATAGCATGTCCTTTCAGGTCATTTATGCCTACACTATCTATCTTCTAATGTTCCTTATAATTTCTCACAATTTATAATCTTCCTAGATTTATACTTAGTACATCCACATTCTGATTATTATTAAGTATTTACAGCTGTTTCTTCTTGCTTGTAGTTACACCTTCATTAGCAAATGAAGGTCCTGAAAGTTTAATCAATTAATATCACTAAAGTCAACTCTCTCCTGACATCAGCATATCTTAAGCTCAAAGAACTGAAGAACAAATTCAAACCTCGAGTTTCTATAATCAAGGATGCTTTCGGCAGAATGTTAAATGATCCAGGAAGTATTAA